ATTTGAATTGAGGTTTCTGTGCTTTTTTTTAGAAACACAATATGCATACCAGTATTTTTGTAATTGTACTTTTTATACATTTATTTTTTTAAATTGTCTGGATACTGTGTATCACTCACTATGTACATCATTTTATTCCAAGGCAGTACACTTTTATTTTATTTCAGTGTACATTTCTTGATTGACTGAAAAGTTTATAATTGTTGGTTGAGATTGTTTACTGTTTTGTTTTTTGGAATTACCCGGTAATATAAAATAATTTGTATGAAAAAATCTAGTACTTAGAAACAATGACAGAGTGGAGGGAATAACATTTATTATTCAAATTGTCATCAACTTTATATTTTCATTGCATTTCAAGAAATGTTGTGCAATATATTTATGGTTAATAGTTTCATCTTTTTTTATATTTTTCTTACAATTGTATTAAATTTATGTCTGGAACATGTTAAGCAATAAAATACTCTTGTTTAACTAATTTTAGTTTATAATGTTATTTATGTAAGGGATGATGGGCTCTTTCCCCAAAAGAGCTGGGACCTCCAGGAAAAATACCCAGGATTCCTATAGGACAATTCATGTAGGAATTCTATAATATTTTGACACGGATTCCTATAGGACAAAATCCAATAGGATTCCTATAATATTTTGACACAAAATCCAATAGGATTCCTATAATATTCTGACACAAAATCCTATAGGATTCCTATAGGACAAAATCCAATAGGATTCCTATAATATTTTGACACAAAATCCTATAGGATTCCTATAGGAAAACATGTGTCAAAATATTATAGGAATCCTACAGGAATTTGTTCTATAGGATTCGTATAGGAATCCTATAGGAAACTTTTGTAAGGGCTGTACTATTTGCTGTCTTTTACACTGTTTCATCCATTTTTAGCTCCGCTGTTTGTCAAGCGGAGCTTATCATATGAGTGATTGACCGTGGGCATCCGGTGTCTGTGTCAATGTTTTACTTTTTGACTACCATATGCGAACCACACAATGGGAGTCTTTGCAGTTAGTGTGTGTGTATGTGTGTATGTGTGTGTGTGTATGTGTGTCCGTCTGTTCCACTGCTATCTCAAGAACCATACATCGGTTTTTGATGAAACTTTGTGCATAGATGCTCTGGGCCAATGCGAAGATTTGGGTAGAAATCCATGCATATTAATTACCTAATTTGCATGATAATTAGCTAATTTTTAGCTATTCCATGACTGTTCCACTGACATCTAAAGAACGACTCATTGGATTTTGATAAAACTTGGTACATAAATGCTCTGAACTTATGCGCAGATTTGATTTTTTTTTGGTAAAAATCCGTGCAAATTAATTACCTAATTTGCATGATAATTAGGCAATTTTTAGCTGTTTCATGACTGTTCTACTGCTATCTAAACAACCACTCATTGGATTCTGATAAAACTTCGTACATAGATTCTCTGAACTAATGCTAAGTTTTGACTAGTTTTTGGTGAAAATCTGTGCATATTAATTACCTAATTTGCATAATGATTAGTCAATTTTTGGGTTTTCCACTGATGTCTCAAGTACTAATCATCACATTTCAATGAAACTTTGTACATAGATCCTCTAAGACTATGCAGAGACCTAATTAGTTTC